AGGGTGTTTGCCGAAGGTCAGGCATTCTCTTCTGTCTATTGTGAACAGAGTCGTGGTGTAAGTATCAAGTAGTGTGTCCTGTTGTGGGGTCGTGGTCTCCTTTTCTTGCACACAAGCTGTTTGACCTTGTTTTCACTAATAAGACTTACGGTGGGTTGATCAAGAAACCACTCAAATTTGGTTGAGATTTATTCACCCTTTTTCGTCTAAGGTGATGAAGGACTGGTAGTAGAATTTTCCCACAATGATATGAGTTGAGTTGTAGGAAATTCTCAACTCATATCATTGTGGGAAAATTCTAATACCAGTCCTTCATGACCTTAAACGAAATATAGTAAACATATCTCATTTATATGATTTAATTATAGCCTAGAAAAACTATTAAAAAAAACCAAAAACCACCTTAAATTTCACCTTTTTGTGTCCAGTTCCACCCAGCTCTGTTGAGGTTCACTCCCATCCTGAAGGTCGAGTACCGGAATCGGCCAGCAAGACATTCACGTGCCAAACAGACGCCAGCAATCCACCATCCCGGATCACCTGGACCCAGCTAACACCAACCGGGGCAGCGTTGCCCTTGGATACGGACCTCCAGGGCGATTCACCCAGTGACAATCAGCCTCATGGGCAAGTGGAGGCCGGTCGCTTTCAGATCAGCCCCACGCGGCAACTGCAGAGCGCCAGTGTCGGCTGGTACGTTGTCTCCAACCTCACAGTCTTGACGGTTCGACGTGCGATGAATGCCCGACGTTTTGAGTGCATCGTCTCCTACGGCGATCAACATGGCACACTTCGTCGGCAGAATGTACTGGAGGTCTTGTGTAAGTGGAAAAGAATCCTCTCACAAAAATATCCCCCAAATGCCTTCATCGAAAAGAACAGACTCGATGGAGACCACTTGATTTCCTAAGCAAACGATAGCCCCAGGTACGAAGAGAAAGTTGGTTTTAATGAATCTCCTTAGATAACATTGTTAGGGGGACCTTCATTTCGAATGAAAGTGCATGAAGACGAGATTCGTTGGTCGATCTCACCAGATGAGGACGGATGAATCGCGTTGTACTGCAGCCGTTTGGCTTTTAGACGATATTCATTTTGGCGCATTCCACGAAATGAAGGTCCCCCTGACAATGTTATCTCGGGCTCTCTTCGTATCTACAATGTAGGTACGGTGCGATTTCTTGTCATTTGTCTTCTCAATACTCTACAACCAAGAAAACTATATCCCGGCAAGTTAATTGAATTAGATTTTTTAATATGTATTTATCATAATGTTGTTCCCAGGTATTATTTATTCGGTAGACGTTATAATCTACCGACATTCACAAACAGAGATCTAGATCAAGTATCGTGCGGTTTAGTTAAAACTAGTCTCAAGGAAAGCATTACCAGACTGCATGAACTAATTAGAACCAAAACTAAGCTCAGGCAATCTCTCTCAGAACTATTGAATGATGTGGATTTCGTTAAGTTACAAGACATGGCGATTGACAGAACTACTTGTCGGATACATGATAAGAAGATCCGGAATTTAGGAATTAGAATAGGGCCGAGAAATTTTGCACCTAGGAAGAAAAATCTTAATAACCAGGTTTGTAACAAAGTGGGGAAGGATAAGGTTATCAATTTATGTAGTACAACTCTGGAGGATAGTGTGGTACTTTTATTGGAAAGAGGACTGCATTTTGCTCTTCCAAATGAGGTAAACCATTCTCTGGAAATACTTGAATTAATTAACTTATCTGATAGATTACCTGAAGAGGTAAGAAAGATTTCTAGAAAACTGCGTAATGATAATCTAATCATAACGAAAGCCGGCAAAGGTGGAGCAGTGGTAGTCACGGATAAGTCAAGTTGTGTAGAAAAGATGCAAGTTCATGTAAATGACAATGACATGTATAGACCTTTATTGAGAGAACCACCTGAAAGACTTAAGACTAGGTTTAAGGATGCCCTTAAGGATTGCGTAAGTAATGGTGAAATGAAGAAATGGAAAATGAGAGATGCAAGGGCCCCCACGAATTACGGTCTCTTTAAGGTTCACAAAGAGGGTGCCCCTCTAAGATTAATTGTAAATCATAAAGGAGGTGTGATGCATAAAATCTCACGGTTTTTATGCAAACAAATAAGGGACTCTGCCAATTATTGGCTAAATTCAATTAACAATTCGTATGATTTTGTGAAATTGCTAGATCAGCAGACAATTTATGAAGAGGATAGGCTAGTAAGCTTTGATGTTGCGTCCATGTGCACAAACATTCCTGTTCAAGGAGCTATTCAAGTTCTGATACAAACTTTAGAGGATCATCCAGAGATAAAACAAGGAATAAGGCTGAGAGTTGCTTCCATTATTAGACTTATTAATCTTTGCATGAGTACCACATATTTTACCTTTGAAGGTAATTTGTACGAACAAACGCAAGGATTAGCGATGAGATCTTGCTTGTCTTTCAGTTTAGCGAACAATTATATGGCAAAATTGGAGGAACACTTCCTGCAAGAAGCAATAATAACACCCAAATTGTTGGTTAGATACATGGATGACTATTTTGTCATCTGGCCTCATTGTAAGGAAAGTTTAGATAGTTTCTTATTTTCACTAAACCAGCGTGAAAGGAACATTCGGTTCACGATGGAGATGGAAGAGAATAGGTCCTTAACTTTTCTGGACGTTCTCATCATTAGAGAAGAGGGTATGTTAGGAAGAGATGTTTATAGGAAGCCAACATATGTTGGCTCTTTGCTTAATCTTATTTCCAACCATATTTACAAGACTAAGGTTGGAATTTTGAAGTCGATGATTGTGAGAAGTATGCGGCTAGCGGATAGCAAACATTTGACTAAAAAGTTGGAACGTCTGACAAATACATTCCTGGAAAATAATTATCCTTTAGGCTTTATTGACAATAATATTTGTCGACTGAGGAAACATTTTCAGACGGAGACCATTTAGTAAAAGAGAGACAGACTGAGACCTTTTCCCATGTCCTAATTTTGCCGTCATGTTTTCAATCAAAAAAGATAGGCAAATTAGTTAAGAAGTGGGGCATAAAAACAGTGTTAGAGTAGAATTTCGAGACTACTAGTAAATCAGTAGTATGAGATGTATTCACCCTTTTTCTTCTAGGCTGATGAAGGACTGGTAGTAGAATTGTAACATAATGATATGAGTTGAGCTGACGTTTCCATTCAATTTCACATAGCCTTGAGAAAACAAGACGAAATAGGGTAAAGACATTAAATATAAAAACAGTGCTTTGAAAGAAACCCCCACACTTTCTTCTGTTATGCCATCATTCAGAGAGAAATATGACCCATTCTCGAGATCCGGCTGCTGTAAGATTGTTTGCTCATGTGCTCGATCTTATGTTGGTGAGACTTGCCGATCTATTTGACAAAGATTGGGATAACACACAAATGCTTGCAAAGGTAGCTGGATCCAACGGTCAGAAGTGACCAATCAAGTTGTAGAAACTGGATATGAAATAGGATGGTCTCGAGCTAGTAGGTTTGCTGATTATGGTGGGTCTGTGCTTGAAAGAAAGATAAGAGAAGCTATTAAAATTAATAGTTTATGAAATACGTTGAATGTGAAGAATGGAGGTAGAAAGTTAAGTTGGAATTACCTATGCTTGATTGAGAGATTGAAAGAGAGAGAGGGTGTTGAGCCTCCATCCAAAAGAAGACGACTCAACTTGTCTGCTCGTCGATGATTCTAACTTAAACTCACACTCGTCCAACATGTTGGTTTCAGCTCTTCAAACAAACCAGACATGTCAGATTACGCAACCCCAGTCTTGCCTTTCCTTGGAGGGTTAAACGTTAATGACCCTTGACTGAAAGGTGGTTTCGTAACTTGATTTTCAAGCCTACAAGTACATATTTCATTATCTGAGCCATACTTATTTACGGACCTAGGCAGTCTCAGTCAAAGATTTTCGCTTGGGTTATTAGGTCTTGAGGATTAGAACAGGAGATTTAATCTTTGATAAGTCCGATTTAGGAACCGTATTTCATATAGACGCTAATACACACGCAAATATGCGTTCTCATACAATCAAGCAAAAATAACAGAACCAGTATGAAAGAAAATTAACCAAACTACTCTATACAAATCTATCTAGGTTTTTAATTTTTAACTTTTAATTTTTTGGCTCGGTAAAGTCTTTATAAGAAGTAAGATATAGTCGGATAGTCTTCTTGCTTTAGTGTTATTGTGGGACTTTTACAAGAATGACACCCAGTTCTGATGATTTTCATCGAATGATGAACGCAAGCTCAACCGTTTTCACCCAAAACGAGGAAGGAAGTCTCGTGGACTGCGTCAACATGAATATCGTATAAAAGCCAAACGTTGGACAGATCGACCAACGAATCTCCGAAATGAAGGTCCTCCCAACAATATAGCCCAATAATTAATAAATAATTGATAATAAGTAATTGATTAATTAAAAAGAACAATAATAATACTATATTAATAAATATTTGCTTGCTGGAGGTTATGTACACTAAGCCAGTTCTAGGCTTTGGCTACTTCTGAACCAATAAGGGTCTCCAGAGTATGCAACAGGCTGTAGTCTGCAAATTCAACTTTAACATGTGTTATCACTTTCTAGAAGACCATTAAAAATATTGAAACTATTTATCGGGGCTTCGAGGCTCATTGTTTGACGAGATTCACTATAAATACCCCATTTATTTCATTTATACTATCATATACTACTGCCATACTACTCATTGCCTTAAGGTTTGCTAATGAGTCTAGTTAGCGTAATTATGGCCTGCTGAAGGGGTGGTGAAACTTGTACTTTTGATGAGTTTTTGAGTGGCCCGAAAAGTGTTGCGTCTTATTAACCGGCCTTTCAGCCCGTGGTGTCTTGGCCAACGGGTACACTTGCAGACACTTGAAAGTGGTGGAATTGGCCTCTCCCGGTGCTTGAAAGTGAATTAAGGTTGATTGCCAATCTCGCCGTTTCTGCTTCCTTCGCAAAATGGTGTAACAAGGAGCGGTGTTGGAGAGCTCGATTCTTTTTCGTGGCTGCACTTGGGTCTGTTGTGGCCACGTCAAGTGCTTAAACTACCGAAGCAGCCCAGGCAATCGAGGCAAGTTAGAAGAAGCTGCACCAAATAGGCGGCACATGATTACGCCTTTTGGCCAATTCAAGGGCACATGCTTGGCTTGGCCCGTGCTGTCCTTCATTTGGTCTTCGGCTGAAGCGTGAATGGAGGAGGCAACGACGTATGAAATGAATGTTATCACAAACCCGGTCGGCTCCAGTCGTGCGTTCAGCCAGACTAGAAATATCGGTTGGGCCGGAGAATCAGTACAAAATGGACCAACTCTTTGTCGCACAGGCAACCCGATGGAAAGAAGTAAAGCTAGGCTTCTCCTAAGTCACACAGTTACACTGGAATTATTTGCTTATGCGAACATGTATTTTGCATTTATCTCGAACATATTACTTATTTTCTATGTAAGTAGTTTTAGCGGAAATCACTAATTCATGAATATGAACTAGCTTGTTCAGTCTACTTAGGCTTGTCTCCCAGACATGCCCCGCCTCAACGAAATTCGTGAATAGTATGACGACGTTTGCCACCAGTAAGCTACTGTCATAATTTGGCTCCGATATTATCTATTATGAAAACATGTGTTTGGCATTGCACTCAATAAGGTTACTTATTTCCAAAGTAAGTAGTTTTTCGAGGCCACCCTTAATTATTGAATATGATATTCGTATTAGAGTAGGGTTTTAGAGACTACCAGTGAATCAGTGTAATGAGATGTATTCACA